GGAAGAAATTACTAGAAAAGTAAATTTCCAAAACATATAATGAAAGACTGAAATTCAAATTCCAAATAATTTTAATAAATTTTCGAATAACGCCACTTAACAATAAAATTACCGATTAACATTGCGAAACACTGACTTAGAAGGTTTAATTAAAACTGTTTAAAATTTGAAGTGCAGGTCTTTCTATCTGTGGAACCTTCGTACGTTCTTATGACGTACTGTTTTTCATTTTTGATTTACACCTTTGTTATCGACACGAAGTGCTAAGTTACATAGTTATAGAACGTTCGTGAACAGCCAAAAACATCTCATTTAGATATGCAAATAGCTTTTTTAATAATAACAAATAAATTGGAAAACAGCTCCAAGTAGAGTCTAGCCCTAAAATTAAAATTAGACTTAGCGCTAATTGAATCTTAATATCCTCATTACGAGATTTTAGTTTTAGATTGCCAAACAACACGAAAAATTAAAACTTTAATAAATATAAATTAACTAGCTGACCGGGCAAACGTCGTTTTGCCATATATATAATTTATAATAAAAAAATAGGGGTTGATCGTAGAGCGGTGAAAGTTAGGGGTTTGTGTGTATTTTTTAATGCTGTATCATAAAAAAATAAAAACAGGAAAAAATATCTAAAAAAAAAAAAAAAATTTTTAGGGGTGGACTACCCTTAACATTTAGGGGGATGAAAAATAGATGTTGTCCGATTCTCAGAGATACCCAATATGCACACAAAATTTCATGAGAATTGGTCGAGCCGTTTTGGAGGAGTATGGCAACGAAAACTGTGACACGAGAATTTTATATATTAGATTTAATTGGAATGTTACCATTGAAATCTTTGTAAAAATCGTGAATGAACTTTACGTTGAATAAATGCTAGTTTTTTCGCCAGACTTTGTACGAAAGCGCCATCTATACGCGACTGTATAAAGTAGAGGATATAAAAAACTCATGCGCAATTACAAATTGCTGATGCCGATTCAGTCTAATAACTTTGCTACTAGATGGCAGTGTGAAAACAAAAAAGTTTTAAATAAAAATTGAGATATGACATATGAAGTTGAGATAACGTGGTAAAATTGTAAAGAATGTAGAATATATGTTGCACAAAATACAAATTTTAAATTACGAAAAATATATCATTATTTCTGTATCTCGGCAGGCTTCCAGCAGGTAATCAGCCTTCGTGGGTGTGTTGATTTTCCCACAATATATACATATTTTCCTGTACCGTACGAGCATATATGTATTAGTAGAGCATAAAGGTAAGAGGATCCATTGGTGCAATGTCGAGATTCGAACACACGGTATCAGTGTTAAGAGGAACCTAGCAAATCCTCCTCGCGCTCTTTGGCGCTCCCAAATTACCTTATGAATCAATTCAGTCATTTTGGAACTTCCTACTTACAAAGTCAATTATCTCATCTCAATAATGTTGGTACAATTTCACATCAAATTGATAATCTCCTTCGGTTATGAAGTCGGTTAAAAATAACCTGTCATCACGACCTAATTTCTATTTTCGTAAGTTTTTTGATGAAACGTCATTCGTTTAAACCACATATTTCTTTATGTTATAAATAAATATTATTAAGGTATATCAGATTTTTACGCAAATCAAATATTATTTATAATATTTAAATACACATACAAACAAACATATTACATATTGTAATATGTATGTTTGTAGCCGAGATTAAGGGTGAGATCTATAGTCGACTTGGACTTTGCTCAGACTTACCTACGAAAAACTTTGCTTAGTGTACACTAAGGTTAAACTATGATTTCGTATTTATAGACATTTTAACGGTGAGATTAAGCTAAGCCCAATAAGACAGAAAATGTCAAAATACAAATTGATGTTTCATTTCATGCAATACTTTGTTTATTATCCTTTAAAAAAGTTAACAATAACAAATATTTAAAAATCTAAAACGGTACACATATATCTTCAATTTATTGTTATTTATGTATTCATTTATTTTATTATTGCAATAACTAAAATTCACGAGTAACCTTTAGAAAATGTATTAATTATTTAAAGATGACAATAATTTTATTACTAGAACGGATTCAATGTTTTGACAACAGCAACAGACACTTGTATCAACTATCAACAATTGAAAATTTTAAACCACTTTAATTTATTAAATTGATCTTTCTTTCGTTTTGTGATTTGGCTTTGTTACATGGACCGCTTGGAAATATCAATATCGAAAGTGACATATGGAGAGAGAGAGTTCTATCTTCAATAGAAAACTTGAAAGGGTAGGAATCCCGATATGAATCCACGAATGCCTAAAGTGTTGTATATTTCGGAATAATAAAACAAAATCCTTCCATCCTGTACGGTGAGAATGAATTCAAAAGAAGGAACGTATTTTGAAACACGTATTAAATGTGATCCTGACGCTGATCATTACAAACTTCAACTTATAACAACAGAAATCGCCAAACCTACCGCAATTGCAAATACTTATTGCATTAAGGCATAAAAATGCAACTGGATGTTTTCAGGTAATATTGTGTTCATAAATATGTATGGTTTTTCAATTTGATATATTATACCTCTTCTCAAATGATTTCAAATAGTACATATGTTGAAGACTTTTGTCTTGTGACTTTCAGAAAAATAACATATATGTGACTAATAATACTTTATTGACATTACAGATGGTGTGTGGTGATCTGAACACATAAGCCAATCTACAGTCTGTTTAATTATAAATAAAGTCTCTCAGAGTTGAGTAAATTACTTCCTAGATTTGTAAATTTTCCAAGAAATATGAACACACCAAAACGAAGTTTGAAGAATTAGGAAGATCTAATACTCACCATGGCCTAACATATTCGAGCTATTGACTGCACCCATATAAAAATTAATAGACCCAAAGGTATCGCTCACTCTGAAGCATACAGAAATAAAAAAGGGTATTTTTCTGTAAATGTGCAAGCAATAATAGGGCCTGATATGGAAATATTTGCTATAGTGACTAGGTGGCCTGGCAGTTCACACGACAGCAGGATATTTAGAAAATGCCTGTTTTAGTAGGTGACAGCGGTTATCCAGCACTTAACTTCATGTTAACAACACTTTTAAATCAATGACAAGAGCTGACAATATTTATAATTATTCTCAAATAAGAACTAGGCATATTTTTTAAAGGTTTTTCAGAGTGTGAAAAAGGAAATTTCCATGTTTACAGCTAGGACTACAGTCTAAATTGACAAATACTAGTTATATATAATTATAGCTTGTGCTGTATTGCATAATATAGGTATACAGAGAGGCGATGCTTATGATGATGGTGATCTTGCTGACAGCAGAAGTTGAGTAACACAGAAACAATGAAAGATCTCCTACAGGTCTAGCATTCCGGCAATCTGTGATTGCACAATTTAACTAGGTAATTTGTTTGGTAATAAAGAATATCAAAACAAAACTTGTTTCATTTTAATCATTTATTTTCTGATTCTTTTTTTTAATGTAATACATATTTCTAATACTAATTTATATTTTTGTTGAAGAAATTCTATTTCTAACAGATTTTTTAAATTCATATGTTCCACTCCTATCTCAATTTTTTTAGGGTAGTCAGGTAATAAATGGTAGAAGATTCAGGGAAACGAAAATAACAGATGTGAAGCGAGAGAATCGGTTAGGTTATATGTAGTTTGAATTTCGTTGTCACTATAATATGCCAGGGCTGCCAGGTGACATACAAAATCACACCAGTTATTTTTAAGATTTCTCAAAAATGGGGTTTGAACAATTACATAAATAATATAAATAACAATAAATACATAATAATGTGTAATTATTTTATTTCATGCATTTCATAGGTATTTATCAAGATCATTTATAATTTCTTTCAATTCAAATTCTATTTTTCCCAAAGTCTATGGAATCCATACAAAATGGCAACACCGTTCATTAAAAACCGACAAAAATAAAAAGTCCAGTAAAAGATATGATGGTAAAGCAAATTTTGGGCCATTATTTTTGTTAGGCTTATAGTCAAAGTTTTTGGTAAGTCGTCGATTTCGTGGACTTGAGATTAAGCTAAGCCAACACTAGGGAGAGATTCGCAGTTTGCTCTATAAATACCGACTGTGTCTTAGCTCGATAGTTAAGTCAGAGCAAAGTCTAAGTGCGGACTATAGATCTCACCCTAAGTTTTACGTATTAAAAATTAAAAAGTTAAATTATTATTTCCGTCTACCATACAATATTCCCGGTGGACTAAGCATTAAAAACCTCTTAAAAAATTACGTATTTTGTGACATTTTACATTTTTTAAATTAGTGATTATGTAGGTACCGGAACCATTACCGATTTTTAAAAGCACTTATTAAAACTCACCTGTCAATCATATATTATTTTTGCTTTTAAATTTTTACGTACGAAATTAACTTAAATATATTTTCTGTTTTGTCCATAAAACACAATTTTTATGGTTTAATTTAAATTAAGAACGTGTTCACTATAATGACACCAGTATCGAAGTCATTAAAAAATTGAAATTTTACGAAATATGCAATAATGATGTTTGCATGCCGTATGCCTCGTAATTAATTTAATGGATTTGTTAAATTATCGCGATTCCGAAATTCAAGACTAAAGACTTGTTTTATAACAGCAAACATGAACAATACTTACTGAACTAAAAACAAAGAATTTATTAGGTAAATACTCGTTTTGATTCATTCATGTATTTTAAGAAACAATATTTAAAGTTTGCTTTTTTACTTGAAAACAATTACTTTATCGAATTTCTTTTATAATCAAAAATTTTCTAACGAAAAAATCTTCGTAATCATATTTAAATGACAAGCCAAAACTAGCGTCTTTTCCAAAACTAACAAACAAATTAAATTAAATACAAAGTTAACTATAATAGATAATTAATAATCTTAAGAATCTAATCAATGAAATATAATTATTTCTGTACCACAACAATTACATATGAAATTTATAAATATTCTCAGTATTATACTATAATTATACGGGTAAAAATTCTCTTACATACCTTTCTCAAAGTCCTATTAAAATCATTCGGATTCGGTAGATAAAAATCGACTATTCCCAGCAGGCAATCATCACAACGGCACACATCACTGGGCAGCGACGACATTGAACCAAAACTGCTACAGCTGTCTAACGAATCCGTCCGCACCAACCTTCCGGTGCTTAAAGCTTCCATTTTGGCCACTAATAGCGACTCCATTAGCGATCTAGGTCGGGCGGGAGATCGTGAGCGTCTCGGAAGATCGGGAGACAGCGTGCGGTCTAACAAATCCGGGGACAGCGGTCTGTGGCGTGTGAAGTCTAAAGATAGGTCCGGCGACATCCCACGATGCCGGGACAAGTCCGGGGACATTTGTGGCACTAAATCTGTTGAACTCGCGCGCGAGAGTGGCGGAGTCACGCTCCGACAGTGTTGAGATGTCATTTTGGTCGCCCGCATTGGTACTACTTAATGAATTTCTAGAGGTCAACCTAAACCAATTGTGTAAATTTACAAAATATTATTTATAAAGCCATTTCGAATTGAGTACTAAAGATACTGCTAGTATTATTGTACTACGTATACTTAATGGCTAGTGATAAAATTTACTGCGATTCATATTCAAGACACGGCGAAATATAACCTTCGCAAACCTTGTCAGTGACGCGTTATGAAAGATTGAGGATAGCAAGGAAATACGTTTCCATTTTAATGTTTCGAGGAAAATCGTTAAAATAAGCAGTTAGCCATATAACTTTAACTAATTTTGATTCTTATCAAATATTTTTGTATAATATCCGATAAAAAGTGCACAGTACGTACATACAATAATTTTGACAAAATATAAAATAGATGTCTCAACCGAAAATACCTATCTTAGTGACCATGATTTGAAACTAGTGATTATCTAGTGGCTTAAGCGTGCGTTCCTCCTGAGGTCGTACATTCGAATCGCGGCTGTGCAACAATGGAATTTTCTTTTTATAAGCGCAACTTGCTTTTACTGTGAAGGCAAACATAATGACATGTGTCTGATCAACACCAGAAGAAAAGAACCAAGGGGTTGTAAAAAAAAGAAGAGGAAACAAAGCCACCTGAGTTCTAGAATCATTTGGGGTTGTAGCGCCACTGGATAATCATATTATGTAATATTGAGCAATCAAAATTACGCAAAAATCAAGTACCTAATCATTTCGTAATAACTTTAGCGGTTAGCTTGTACAATTATACATTAAACACTTGCCACCAGTTTTAAATTTACTAATCTTAGAGCCTGAATAAGTTTTCAGTGAAGCGTAATCATTTACAGTAAGAAACAAAAGTGCGGAGAAATTGATTTTGTCCAAGAAGGGGGTAAGAAAGTTACTTTGACTGATCTTTAATTAATCAAGCATTATGGTCACTCTACATAATTCTAATTCTGTGCGCACTGGGTGGCCACCGGTGTTAGAAACCACCCGCCAAGCGGTAAATTCATTACCTAGTTTATTAAATCTTCACTAAGTACTTGACATCGGCCATCATGGGCTTAATACCCGTCATGTGAACCTTGTTTGGAATTCGGACTAATTTGTACTTAGAGATTGACAAGTGGACTTAAGTTGCCATTAGATCATTTAGAACATATCGGGCTATACAACTTCAAGGATTTTTTTGGCTACATGCGTGCTATTAGAGCTTTTCCTTCCATGATTGCAATACTTAGGCATATTGATAATTATATTACAGTCAAAACCGTTTACGACGACATCGTTTAGAACAACATACCGGTTATATTGACTAAAATCAAAAGTCCCGGCTGAATTCGATTGTATTAGGTACTTAATAACAACGTCATCGGCCGTTACGACTATCGGTTTTACGACCAAATATGAGTAGTCCCTTCGATGTTGTTATAACAGATTTTAACTGTATTTGGTTTTTGTTTAGTGCCAAGCAACAACTTATTATACTGAATAATTTCGGTAACATCGGACTTACTCAGTAAAAAGTTTTCCGTTTTGAAGGTTACTTACAAGTAACGGGCTAGAAATCATTACAAAATATTAGAAAAACAGTAATAATAATCAAATCAGCAATCAATGAAGCAGTTTAAAAATTTACTCCGTAGTAGCATTACTTTGTAGAAATAAATTTAAAAATTTATAATAAAATTTCAAAATAACCTAAAATCTTTAAGAACATATACCAATCGCGCTACAACCTTTGCGGTATGGGCCTGAGATTTTTGTATCTATCCCGAGATCATTTGTAATAGGCGAATATCTATCTATCTATCAAATATCTATATCATTTGTAGAACATCAACCTTCTTGTGCATGACACACGCCTCCAGCGTTAAATGCGCGTATTGGCGAGAGTCCATTGGTGCACAGCCGGGGATCGAACCCACTACTTCAGGGATGAGAGTCACACGCTGAAGCCACTAGGCCGACCACCTGTGTCAGGCAAGAAAAGAGCATACCATTCCCTTAAAGGCCGGCAACACACTCGTAAGCCTCAAGGCGGAAAACGCTTCTTTCTAATTGCTCAAACTTCAAATAAAAACCCACCTGCTCATTTCTCATAAAAAGCACACTATGACGCATTATTAAACACGCAGAAATGTGTCCGCCATTTACCCAGCTGTACATTTTCTACATTGGTACATAGGATACCGCAATATATATTGTAATGGAAAGATCAAATAAATTCATACTTAATGTTAATAAATTTATTCAAAGTAATTCCAAGTATAAAGTCGGCAAATCCTGAACCATTTCTGATAAAATCACCTCATTGATTATTTATACCTCCTTAACTATGCTTCGCTCCTGGTATTTCTTGTTTTGTCGCTCATAAATAAAATACCGTATAAGGGTTTATTTTATCGCAAGGTGAAGAAAACTGTCAGATACTGGAAATCGAGGGAAAAGATAGAAATATTAGCACCTTAATAAGGATATAGCGGTAATTGGTTTTACATAAAACTTAATTTATTATGCCGACTGTACCTGCTGTAACCGAGATTTTGTAGATAGATATCTTTTGGGCGTTTACTTTATTGCAATGTGATTGACAATTAATGCGGTTGGTAAATAAAGACGAGTTTGTGGTTTTATGAATAAGTTTTTCTGCTTTAAATTCGTCTAAACTTTTCACAAAACCATTTTTGGTTCTTATTTTAAAAACCTTTTTTTTACGCGATAAATGTACCTACCAAAAACAGACTAAATCTCTAAAACAGATTGTTTAATTAGTATCATAATATAGTTCCCAATACCATCTGTTTTTATGTTTTATTATTAAGAAAATTTTTGTCTGGCCACAAGCGAGGTTCCAATAGTTTCAGGCGCAAAAGGAATAGTAACTCAAAATATATTAAACAATTAGTTGTTTCTATAGGCATCATATTCAAAAACAGGCACTTGACACCCCACCAACACCACAAAATACCACTAATGAACTACAAGACAGACAACGTAAATAGGGACACGAAAGCGTTTTTTCTTGACGGACTCTCTCACACGCTGTATAACGTGCAGATTTTCATCAATTTTGTTTTGTTATACTTACTGCAAAATAGGCCTTAAATTAAAGAAATATTTATCGTACTTGTTTTAAGTAAATAATTGGAGATAAAACTATGTTATAGGAATATTTGTTATGTTACGTCATAAGGCAATTTACAACCCGAAATTGGAATCACTTTAACAGTAGTCCTTGTACTTATACCTTTGGCATATTCTGCTCTTTTGGTGAAAGAAAGGTATGTCTTAGGAACAAATATGCTACAATTACTTTGACTACAACTCAACCCGCATTTCATCTACGGAATCAACATGAACATCCTATCCTACCCTCATGATTAATTATCGGATTCCCAAATAGAGAACTACTATAAATGTCTATATAAACCATTTCCCAAGTAAATAAAGCTAACTAACAACGACACGTTTATGACCACACACGCGGTTAAGTGACTATATTTCACTCATACATAATTGAAGTTTACAGATTTAACTGATTACATTTAAAAAAGCAATTACGTATAAAAAGATATACGTGATTGCAACTAAGGGGTTTCAACAAAAACAGTTTCCACGTCGTGTTAATGAGCAAAGGTATATTCAGAGAATCCATCAGTTCTTATTTGCATATCGTGTAATTACAAATCGGCATGCGCAGAGGCTCCTCCCACGAGATGCAAATTACGCCCCTCTTGGCCGTGCTTTATCTGCCTACATCCGTTTTGGTGTGAACAAGTCAAGAGCTTTTATGTGCTAAAGCGAATAGTTATTCTATATTTGGTTTTGGATACGAATTACAAGCGTGCAATGGAGAATTCGGAATAAATGCCGTGTTTAACATTTAAGTACTTTGAGCACATCTCAGGGAATGAAATTTACGGAGAGACATAATTTGGGGTAGGGCGTTCGACTTCAGTGCGGTTTTCGAACGTTGTTTGGCACGTGGAAGTCAGCTATCGATTGAGGAGGACCAATAGAAAAGGTGGGATAAACGCCAAGCCCATCAGACCTAATTTTGAGCAAACAAAGCCATTTTATATGAAAGGGGAGATTCCACTGCTGCCTAGCTTCTCGTCCAACAGATCTTCCTGATCCCTGATATGCAGGGGTTGTTTGTATTAAAAAATCATCTTATGTTAAGTGATACTCCCCATGGACACTATCAATGCCAGAGGGCTCGCGAATGCATTGCTGGCCTTTTAAGAGTTGAAGGACGTAGAAGGACGGACGGAAGTTTGGGAATACTGTAAGTATTTAAGGAATCTGTGTCAGTTGAAGTCCTGTGTAACCCAATGTTTGTATTTACGTAAAAAAATTGTTTCAAACCGATAAACTCCCCTCAACTTTAAGGAGACCCTTCCTGAAGAGTCCTTTAATGAGGATTTTTTCATTATTTTCAAGCTCGATAATATAAAAACGTTAAACCTATCAAGCCAGCAGATTATTTTTAATTGAATGAGAAAAAATGCAATGAGATAATTATTATACTTGTGGTAGAGAATGCGGAGAGATTAAAAAAATGGCTAAGTTTTACCTACGATTTTAGGGAAGAAAATTTGTAAACTTTGTAGATTACTTCAGTAAGAGATGTCTAAATAGTTTTTATCCTATGCGCAGATGCTTAATCATTAACACACGCAGGCATGTGCTATTAAATCACACTCTTCCCCTTTTGGCTTTATAAAGCAAAAGACGTATTTTATTGTGCGTGTAATTGGGGAATTTTAATTTCTTTAAACATTTTTCATTCGTGCCGTAGTATGTGCCGACACAATTTAGTGTTATTTATGTTTAAGATCGATAAATGTAATTAAATTAACGCTTGGATGGTACAATTAATTACGAAAACCTCGTGATTTCAATCGAAGGCACAAGTATGCTTTTTGTGTAACATCCGGTCCAAAAGATTTGTTGATTTAATTAAGCATTCGAAAA